AATGGAACGAACGTCTTTGAATGCAACAGTTATGTGTACCTAGGTCGAGAAGTCAACATGACAAACTACCTGGCACCTGAGTTGCACAGGAGGAAGAGAGGAGCGTGGAACGCCTTCAAGATCATCGAAGAAATAGCTAAGAGGATGAAGACCTCTGGCTCTGGGCACATCTCTTCGACTCCACTGTTCTTCCTACATTAACATATGCCTCAGAGACCTGGGCCCTAAGAAAACAGGATGAGAATGCTATTCAGGTCTCCCAAAGAGGAATCGAAAGAGCTATGCTTGGAGTATCACGCTTCACTCAAGTGAGAGAAGGAATCCAAAGTTCTGACCTCTGTCGATGATCGAGAATCAGGGACGCTGTCTCATTTTCCAGGCATAGAAAGTCATATGGGCTGGACACGTAATGCGTTTTGGAGATGACCGCTGGACTAGAGCCTTTACCGACTGGATTCCACTGGACGTCAAAAGATCGTGTGGCTGCCCACCTACGAGATGGTCAGACTTCTTCATCAAGACCTTGAATGAATGGTTCGAGGCTCTTTGTGTTCCTGGAGCGAGCAGACGCCATTGGGCTACACTAGCACGCGACAGGGACGGATGGAGACATTGCTGGTGCCCGCTCAAGCAAATCGATGAGTAACGGAATGTCAAGTGATCAAGTGACAGATGAAAATTGCACAGAATAGTATTTGGCACATGAACATGTTGGGAGGGTCCTTCTTGGTTTCTTTGTTCTATCTTTCTGGGATTGCCAAGAATGCAAGACCCCGAGTGCTGGCTTGAGGCCAGAGTGAAAGGACAGCAGGGCAGAGCACTTGAATTGCACACAGCTGACCTGGGTTCAATTGGCAGCATCCCCCATGGTCTCCCTTGAACACCACCAGGAGTGATCCCTAGGTGCAGAACCAGGAGTAAGTCCTAAGCACCGCCGGGTATGACCAAAAATGGAAAACAAACACAAAAGATGCAAGACCCCGAGCACTCTGTGCCAGGGTCATCTTCCGGGTAACGTTTATAGAGAGAAGGTGAGGTCTGACGCCTCCCTCCAGAGGGACAGTATGGGATTCCGGGGATCGGACCCGAGTTGGCCACATTGCCAAGTGCCTTAGCCGCTGTACTACCACTCTGGTCCTAATTTGGGCTTTTTGTGCAGGTAAGAGTCAAGATTAAGGACTCTGAACGCGGGTGATCTCTTCGTTCTCTGGGTTTTATCAACGCTTTTGTTCCTGATTGTGAATTGTTTTCTGGGGGGTCTGGTCTTTGGTATTGAGCTTGTGTCTTGAGTCTTACTTGAATTTGTGACTTTGACTTTGAGTCTTACTTGAATTTGATAAATGCTTTTCAGATCCTATCTTGTCTCTCCAAACATTTCTTGGTTTCATGGCTTCGTGAAGCCACCAACTGCCTATCTGACCCCCTTCCATGCTTTCACAGCACCCCTCAGATCCAAGGGGTAAGAGAAACTTTTATTGGTGCAGGCACGCCTGGCAATTCTCAGAGCTAGTGCCAGCTCAATCCTCGCAGGGTGGCAAAGCTTTCTGGGCTAGCTCCACCTGGGCAAGAGAAATTGACGCTAACATGGGGCTGGGGTGACCATGGGGGGGGGCAGGGCACTTACCTAACTTGCTGCTGACCTGGATTTGATCCCCAGCACCCCACATGATACTACCAGGAGTAATTCTTGAGTGCAGAGCCAGGAGGAATCCCTGAGCATTGCTGGGTGTGCCCCCACTCCCCAAAATAAGTTGAAGGTAGCATGACGAGACATGTTTTGCTCCCTACGCCATGAGTAATAGTCATTTGTGTTAACCAGAAGTCTTCGTCAGAATCCACGAACCAGTAACAGATTAGCTTAATAGCAGAGTAAAATCAAACACCAGATTTGAGTAATCCCTGCTTACCTAAACTATTCTGTTTGTCTTTTAGGCTACACCTGGCAGTATTCAGGGCTTATTCCTGACTCTGCTCAGGGATCACTCCTAGTGTTTACTCAAGGGGCCATCCATGGTGCTGGGGGTTGTACCCCAGCTGACCGTGTGCGAGGCGAGTGCCTAATACATGGTACTGGATTTCTGGCTCTTCCTTTCACAGTTCTTGTTCTAATTTCCTTTACCAGGCATTTTGCACAATACCTGAAAATTTGTTCAAAAGCAAAAAAAAAAAAAAAACCAATTGACACCATTTGCAAAATAACTCTACAGTGCTGTTGGGATAGTAAAACTAATTTGAAATTTAGAACAGTGGGTAGGGACTTTGCCTTGCATGCAGCTGGTCCTGGGTTCAATCCCTGACATTCCATATGGTCCCGTGCAGAGCCAGGAGTAACCTTTGAGCATTGCTGGGTGTGGTCCCCAAACAAACAAACAAAAAGAGAAAGATAACTCCAAAATGGTGCTCAATCACTTGGCTGCTCATATATTCCTTTCAGAATCACCTAGACCATGATATCCTATTTCCTTAATTTTTTAATTATTATTTTTGTTTTTTTGGGGGGCTATACTCAACGGTGCTTAGAGCTTACTCCTGGCTCTTTGCTCAAGGATCATTCCTCGCAAGATTCTGGGGACTGTATGAGATGCTGGGGATTGAACCCAGGTTGTCTGTGTGCAAGGCAAGAACTCATCAGAGATCAGGGGTTAGTCCTGGCTCTGCACTCAGGAATCACTCCTGGCGGGCTCAGGGGACCATATGGGCAAGGTCCCTCCCCTCTTTACTATGGCTCTGGTCTCTCTCTCTCTCTCTCTCTCTCTCTCTCTCTCTCTCTCTCTCTCTCTCTTTCTGGCCCCTAAAATTGCCTTTGTGCCTGGTACATCATCTATGGCAAACAATATGGAGATTTCTCAAAAAAGCTAGAACGGAACTCCCATTTGACTTAGCTATCCCACTTTGAGGTATCTACCCCCAAATCACAGAGTAATTCAGAAAGATTTATGCACACCTATGGTCATCGCAGCTCTTAGAGAACAGCCAGGATACAGAAGCAACACAAATTTCTGTCCGCAACTGAGGTTGCATAGAGCAGTGTGGTGCATCTATACAACAAGGATGCAACTGGAGGGGGTCGTGCTGAGCGAAATAATCTGCAGGTAGAAATAATCTACAAACAAAGGATGATCTCACTCATCTGTGGCATACAACGGAACAAACCGAGGGGCTGGGTAATGTCAGTGAATAACGAACCTGGGCTATAGACCTGACGGTAGTGCCAGCTGCCACAAAGAGGTTGCTGGTGTCAGGACAGGACAGCCTCGGACTGGGCCAAGGACAATGAAGATAGAGAAGTTTCCACTCAGGACTCCACTATCTGCTTGTTCCAGGAGGAATGTACAGGCCCCTAACCATATAAGGGTATAATCTAACATCACAAAAGACCTTGTGGTTGACTAATGAAATAGCTGTCACGGGTCTGGGCTTAGCCCTTGGACCCGAATATCACGTGAAGCCCCGAGTGGGCACTTGTGTAAATTATGACCTTCAAATCTGCTGTAACGGCCAGTATAGGCCTATAAATGTTCCCTTCTGGTGAAGCTCAGGGTCTTGCCTAACCTGCTGGACCTGCATGTCAGTGGGATGGCTTGACCCTGCTCATTAAACTGCATGCTTGTTGATTGCATTCCTGCGTGGTCCTTGTCTGCCTGGGAGATCACGAGCCGTGCCCTAACACTGGGAAGCAATACAAGAACAGAAACACAGGGCATCCCTAACAGAGGTGACATACACACCAGCACCCTAAATAATGGGGGCCAGCTGGGGAAGGATCCTTGGATTGGAAGTAACATGGGAATGGGGCAGGACCGGCTCCAGACACGTGTGTGGTGACTTGGTACATTGGCCATCCCCGGGGGAACTCAGGGCTCACTCCAAGCTTGAGTCAAGGATTAATCCTGGCAGGCTCAAGGGACCAGGTGGGATTCGGGAACTGATGGGTCCTGGTGCAAGGCATGCATTTACCCCGCGGTACTAGCTCTCCAGTCCAAACCCAGACACTTGAACATTAGCATTGCTCAATGATTAAAACTAGAAGAAGTATTTTAAAAACCGCCTTTTGCATGGATGCAGCAGTTAGTTTTTAATCACACAATCACAATCACAAATCATCCTGTTAATCGTTGATTGCCTCGAGCAGGCCCCAGTAACGTCTCCTTCATCCTAGCCCTGAGATTATATTCAAGGCTCTTTAGGAGAATGAGACCCATCATTGTTACTGGTATTTGGCATATTGGGGACGCCACGGGTTTTTAATGCATTTGCAATATCTGAAAAAACAAAAAAGGTTGCGAGGCCCCAGCCACAGAACCGTGCGGAGGGTGCTTGCCTTGCTCGCAGCCTACACCCAGTTCCTCTCCAACCACCCTCCAGGCTTCAGGGTAGTGCTGGGAGTGATGCCTGGGCACCTCCGCGGGAGGCCTGGGAAGAAAGAAAAAAAGAAGAAACATTGTTGCGCAAAACCGGCTGTTACTCAGTTCCTGTTACTTAATAGCCAGATGACTCGGTTCCTCCGGGTTCCGTTTCCTAGGGTGAAGCAGAGCAACCCACGCACCCACCGTTCAGCTGGCTAACGCGGGGCTTGCGGGAATGAAACCAGGCGCCGGGGTCAAGTCCCGGGGAAACGGGCTGCGGTGCCACCCGTGACAATCTCACGTTCATAAACGCATTTTCAGGAGCCGGCAAAAGGGATGAACGTGACCCCACGCCCCGGCAGCCCGAGAGCCCCGCTCAGCGCGCGCGGACCAGACAAACTACAACTCCCAGGAGACCTCGGGGCCCGGGCCCGGCCGCCCGCCCCGCCCCCCCGCCGGGACTACAACTCCCAGAAGGCCGCGCGCGCGCGGACTACAACTCCCAGCGGCCCCCGCGCGCCGGCCGCTCGCGGGCCCCGGGCTCCGCGGCGGGCGGCGCGGGAGCGCGCGCGGGGGGTCGCGCGGCGGCGGCGGCGGCGGCGGCGGCGGCGCGCGCGCGGGGTGGGCGTGGAGGCGTCAGGGGGCGGGGGGGACGGCTCGTTTGCTCGCAAGATGGCGGACGAGGACGGGGAAGGGCTTCACCCCGCGGCCCCGCACCGGAACGGCGGCGGCGGGGGGGGCTCCGCGCTGCACTGCGCCGGCAACGGCGGCGGCGGCGGCGGGGGCGGCCCGCGGGTCGTGCGCATCGTCAAGTCCGAGTCCGGCTACGGCTTCAACGTGCGGGGCCAAGTGAGCGAGGGCGGGCAGCTGCGGAGCATCAACGGGGAGCTGTACGCGCCGCTGCAGCATGTGAGCGCCGTGCTGCCCGGGGGGGCGGCCGATCGGGCCGGGGTGCGCAAGGGGGACCGCATTCTGGAGGTGTGAGTATCGGGGCTGCCCCCCGCCCTTCCCCTCCCCGCCCCCACCCCCACCCGGCCCGGCGTCGGCGCCGCGCCCCTGTCGGCTCCCGCGCGCGGCCCGCGCCGCCCCCACCCACCCCCGGCCGGACCCCGGGCCCCCCCCCCGGGGCGGGGGGTGGTCCGCGACCGCCGGGCTTCCGCGCTGCTGCACCCCGACCCCTCGCTGCTGCACCCCGGCCCCGCGCTGTTGCACCCCAACCCCGCGCTGTTGCACCCCAGCCCCGCGCTGCTGCACCCCGACCCCGCGCTGCTGCACCCCGACCCCGCGCTGCTGCACCCCGGCCCCGCGTTGCTGCACCCCAACCCCGCGCTGTTGCACCCCGACCCCGCGCTGCTGCACCCCGGCCCCGCGCTGCTGCACCCCGGCCCCGCGCTGCTGCACCCCGGCCCCGCGCTGCTGCACCCCGGCCCCGCGCTGCTGCACCCCGACCCCGCGCTGCTGCACCCCGACCCCGCGCTGCTGCACCCCGACCCCGCGCTGCTGCACCCCGGCCCCGCGCTGCTGCACCCCGACCCCGCGCTGCTGCACCCCGACCCCGCGCTGCTGCACCCCGACCCCGCGCTGCTGCACCCCGACCCCGCGCTGCTGCACCCCGACCCCGCGCTGCTGCACCCCGGCCCCGCGCTGCTGCACCCCGGCCCCGCGCTGCTGCACCCCGACCCCGCGCTGCTGCACCCCGACCCCGCGCTGCTGCACCCCGACCCCGCGCTGCTGCACCCCGACCCCGCGCTGCTGCACCCCGGCCCCGCGCTGCTGCACCCCGACCCCGCGCTGCTGCACCCCGACCCCGCGCTGCTGCACCCCGGCCCCGCGCTGTTGCACCCCAGCCCCGCGCTGCTGCACCCCGACCCCGCGCTGCTGCACCCCAACCCCGCGCTGCTGCACCCCGACCCCGCGCTGCTGCACCCCGACCCCGCGCTGCTGCACCCCAACCCCGCGCGTACCCCGGCCCCGCGCTGCGCTCTGACCCCGCATCGTGCCCCGGCCCCCCGGCGCGCCCTCACTCTGTTACTCCGCGCGGATGCCCTGTCCCCGCGAAGTCACCTTCCCTCCCCCCTGCTAGCCCACCCCACTCGGACCCCGTGCCCCACGTTGTTTCTCCGGTCCCCCCCTTATTCCCCGCTCCCCCGTGCGCCCCCCATCCCCCGCGCCCCGGTCCCCTGGGCACGTTGCCGTCCCCCTCCGCTGCCCGGTCCAGTTTCAGCCCCTCCCGGGAAGCGTTTGTTGTCCGACCCGCGTGTCCCGCCGCGTTGGTTCTCCCCGGAATCCGGAGCCTGCGCCCCCCACCCCACCCCCAGTCGCCTGCAGCTCCACGCCCGGCCTCTCGGGGTCCCCCCAGACCGAGGGGCAGGGGCTGTGCGCGCGGCCTCGGGGAGCCCCACGCTGCACCCCCGCACCCCCACACCCGGCTCCCTTCCCTGTGTCCATCCCTGCCGCCTGCCCCCAGCCTGCATCCCGAGGCTCGCCCTCGCCCGCCCCCCACCCCGGGACAGCCCCCTTAGGGCCGGTTCCCCGGGTCCAGCCTTCCCCGGTGGCCGCACTCCGCCAGGCGTCCGTGCGCCCCTGTCCCTGCGCGCGGTGATTGCCCCGCATCCTGGCATCCTGCATCCCTGCCGCATTGCTTCTGCCCGGTTCGTTCCCCACCTGGCCCTCCTCCCGCGGCTTTGGCCTGGGCACCTTGACCCTAGCGAAGTCCTCTTGAGGCTTCTGTTCTAAATGCTGCCCTCCTCGGAACGGCTTGGCCAGGGTTTCCCGTGGTTCGCCCCTGCTGAGCGCCTGGCACCTCTGCCCCTTGCTCCTTACGCTTCTCCCACTCAGGCCCCTGAAACTCTGCCTTTGCTCTCTCGACCCCCGAAGCGTTAACCTTTCCCCGTTCCTGCCCTGATTGGTTTCATGCTCTCTTCTGGGATTCTCATTCTTTCGGGCGACTGTTCAGATTTAGAATGCATGCAAGACCTGAGCACCCCGTTTCCATTCCCGTTTAACTCAAAATTTGTTCCTTTTCATATAGAAGCCCTTGGAATTGTCATTTTCTTCTTGGAAAGTTAACTATGAATCCAGATTTTTTTTTTTTTTGGTGGGGATCACACCCGGCAATGCACAGGGATCACCCCTGGCTCTGCACTCAGGAATTACTCCTGGCGGTGCTTAGGGGGGCCCATGTGGGATTCTGGGGATCGAACCCGGGTTGGCCGCCTGCGAGGCAAACGGCCTACCGGCTCCAGCCCCCAGCAGTTTTTTTTTTTTTTAATCCTTGTAAATCTACACGTTTACTTAAATTATAAATTACACTTCCCAATCACTTGGCTATAGCTGCTTTGTGCTACTGTTTCTCATCTGCAAACCCACAGATGTGTGATATATCAGCTAAAATATAGCTGATGTTTAAAACAATTTTAAAATTTTGTGGTCAAGCCTAACTGTAAACCAGGTGCCATCAGGGAGGCCTCAGGTGACCCCCTAGAGCAGGCTGAAGGATTTACTTGAGGCCTGGAGTCTAGTCTAGGCCCGTTCCTCCTAGAATACCTTTGCCTTTTGACTTGTCTTTAGGAAGTGAAGTGATGATTTTGTATCCTTTAGCGGCAGAGTTTGGAAAGACCAGTCTTTGCTTGGGGAATTTTTCTCTGCAGACTCTTCAGACTCCTTGGCATTGGTTTCTTACCTTCTGACTGTATTTTGATGTTCAGAACCTCTGAAGCTTTGCTAGGATGGAGGAACTAGGGGTCACTGGGTGGAGATCAGAGCCGGGCAATAGTTCCCGGGACCTTAGCGCTACCCTCCTCTCCTTCCTTTCTTCCGAAGGCTGCGTCCTCTCTTCGGGAGATCAGTCATCAGCTATGATTCTGGATCAAGGATAGCCGTGACACTGGTTTGGATCTTTTTTAGATTGAGCCTAATTTCCCTAAAATACTCTTCAGGCATTGAGCTTTGGAGCTTCCCTCTGTCTCTCATCCAAATTCTCTGAAAGTTTTTTTTTTGTTGTTGTTGCTTTGCATGTTTATGAAGTGTCCGGGGGCGCCTGCGGTCAGGCATAGGTAGGCAATTACTGTCTGTTTAGATACAGTTTGTATCAGGTCATAGGGGGCTGTCCTGGCCTGGAGACTTGTTATATTTATTCAATACCTTCCCATTTTTAGACTCTTCCTGTCTGTACAGAAATTATTTTATTCAAACGGGGAGGCTGGGCGCACGAAAAGTGCCTTAAGCCCTGTGCTATCTCTCTGGCCTCTTCCTCCAATTTTTCATATTGTAATTGGTTAAGCAACCAAGACGTACAAAGAATGAAGTAACTTCCCCAGCAATGCCGGGGTGTCTCTCCTGGGAGTACTCAGGGTGCCATGTGGTGCCGAATGGTGTGGAGGACCAAACCAGGACCTCTCTGCCTGAAAAGCAGGTGTCCCAACCATTGAGCTCTCTCTCTGGCCCAGAAACTTGGAGGTATAAGGGAATGCAAGCTCGGCCCCATAACAGAGCACTGATTTATTTGTGTTTCTTTTTTTTTTTTTCTTTATGGGTCACACCTGGCGATGCACTGGGGTTCCTCCTGGCTCTGCACTGAGGAGTTACTCCTGGCGGTGCTCAGGGGGCCATATGGGATGCTGGGAATCGAACCCAGGTCAGCTGCGTTTAAGGCAAACGCCCTACCCGCTGTGCTGTCTCTCCAGCCCCTAGTTGTGTTTCTTTTGAAGTCTGTTTACCAAAGTCCTGTCCTCAATCTCGGGATTGCCGTTAACAGCAGAGAGATGGTACAGGGCTTAAGGCATCAGCCTGTGTGTGTGGCTGGCCCGGGTGTGATTTCTGGCACTTCGTGAACCTCTGAGCACTGCTGGGAGTCGCCTATAAGCGTTGCGGGGTGGGGTGTGGCATGAAAAAATGAGTTCGGTTGGTTCAGTTTCTTTCTCCCTTCAAAAGGGACTAGTTTATAACTGGTTTGGGGAAATAATCATGTTACAGGCTTGGCACAGGCCTAGACTAGTAAGTTTTACAGCACGTGGAAAGTTTTCTTGACTAGCAGTTATTAGACCTCTCAGCTTACGAGTTTTCCCAGAGTTCCATAATTCTATCTTCTCTCTGTTGTGCATATGTACACACCAGGACGCCGTGGAGGGAAGGATGTTTCCAGCATAGGACCAACATCAGTACACTTTTGGATATGTCGTACGTGACATTCAAGTACTTTGCTTTTGTCTTGATTTTGGGGCCACCCCTGGCAGTGCTCAGAGGTCACTCCTAGCATTGCGTGTGCCCGGCCAGCACCTTTCTCTGCTGCACTGTCTCCCGGCCCCTGTATTAATACTTTGAGAGACAACCCTAGGATATATATAGTAGTATTTGTGTCTCTGTGGTATTGGCTTGTCTGTTGGCTGGTTTGTTCTCTTTGTGATGCGGGTGGTGTGGTTTTTGCTGGGGCTTGAACTCACGGCCTGATGAACGCTGATCTACATCCCTGGCCCAGGCATGGTCTTCAATAACTATAACCCCCAAGGTGGTCTGCAGGCATTGGAAACCGTGACATCCAGGCGAGGCCAAGAGTGTCGCTGCCCCTCGTGGGTAGACTCAAGGCTGCAGACCCATGAACTTTGTCTCGTTAAAGTTAAAACAGGTAAAATCGAAGTTTTTTTTATGAGCATCTCACGGTGGTTTTCGTCTGTTGCTCAGCCACACCTGGCAGTGCTCAGTGCTTACTCTGCAGTCAGGAATCACTCCGGGTGGGCCCTGGAGGCCCTCTGGCGTACTGGGGATCAAACTTGGGTCTGCCACATGCCAGGCACGCACCTTCCCCGCCGTGCTTTCTCTCCAGCCCCTCAGAGTTTTGTTGTTTTGCTTTTGGGCGACACTTAGCGGTGCTCAGGTGTTACTCTGGCTTTGCATTCGGCAATCACTTCTTCCCTGCTGGTGGGCTTAGGGGACCCTGTGGGATGCAGGGGCTTGAACCCAGCCCAGCTGTGTGTAACGCAAG